TGTTGTTGTTTTATTTATTCCTTCTTTCGAAATTGTAATTAATTTATTATGGTCTTGTGGTTTGCAGGCTTCTTCTGCTTCTCCTTCGTCTTCATCATCATCATTCTCTGTCCGTTGTTGATCATACCGAATTGGCGTCGTCTTCATTTTTTGCCTCTTTATGTTTATTCTTATTCTTGCCCCACTATTTCATCATTTCGTTCGTTGTCTGTTATGGTCAGCTGATCGCAGTTGTTGAAGCATAAGATTGAGCATGCGTGGCCGGTTGGATGGCCACAAAATGTATATCCCCCATGTGGCTTAAAGTGATTTTTTGTTGTTGTTGTTCCTAATGTTCTTGAAGATGTTTGGGTTGCGGTGTTTATTCTTTGGGGAGTTGGAATTTTAATTCTTGCTTTTATCTGCTCATTACAGAAGGGGAAGGGGAGATTTAGAAAACAATCTATGAAATATGGGTTGTCTGCAGAAATGTTTTTATCTGAATGATATAAAATTTCTAAATAGATAAAATATTATTTTTTATTTTTTGTATGCCGTTATTAAAAATAAAATAAATTTCTCACATTATTTTTTGTTTAAGTGATCTGCAAAAATAATATGAGAAATTTATATTAGTATTATTAACAGTATATTAAGCATTAAAAATAGTATTTTATCTATTCTTTTAGTAATCGTTTTATCTTTGAGATAACAACTTTCTTTTAGCTGATACCATTTTTTTAATATTATCAATATTTTTTTATTAAAAATTATTGCAAAAATCAATATAATCCATATCTATCATCTCCCCTAAGCTGAATACTCTATTGAGACTTTATCGAAAGATTTATTCTTCAATGATCCATTTAACTGGAACAAGAAAACCACTTTGTAAAGATGGGAGGCACAGTTAACAGAAGCCGACTTCAGACATTTTCAATTTTATTTATTTATCCTTTGGTATTAATTAAGATGGAAATGTGGCTACAATTTGTAAAATTCGAGTGGGAACCGAATCGAAAATATAATGAGAACGAGTAGAAAAAAGGAACTCGAAGTCATAAATCTCGAAATTCTTAAAAAAAAAATCAAGGGCTTCCCCATCAAAAATTGTGATTAAAATTGTGGTAAGGACTTCTCAGCCACAAATCGCGAGAGTTTAGTAAGATTTTTTAAAGACCCCTTGACAAAAAATCTTAGATTTTTTTAAAGGAAAAAATCTAGAACTTCTTTGCTAAAAATTGTGGTTTTTATGGAATTTTATTTATTTTTTATTTAATAAAAAAAAAAAAACAAATAAAAAAATAAATAAAAAATTCGGCCGGGCCGAACTTTTAACATCCTCCACCATTTGGAAGGAACTTGAAAATTTTCAAAAAACTTTCGGAAACTACCTCTTAAATGAAAACTTTTATATGGAGAATAAACGAAGACGTGAACAATACGATTCTTTTTTTTTTTTTTTGTCATAGACTGTAGTACCCATTACCAACTTCAAATACTAAATTGGAAATAATTCTGGTAAATAATGTCGCTAAAATCATGAAAATACCAAATATCGGGAGGTACCATTGTATAGGGGCTATACGAAGACGTGGACCTGCATACGAATTTTTTTCCATAGGTTGTACCAACCATTAAGATCTCCCAATACCAAATTTGAAATGATTCCGGTAAATAATGTCGCTAAAATCATCAAAATAGCGAATATAGGGGGGTACCGTTATATAGGGGCTATATGAAAACGTGGACCTTTATGGCCCTCCATAGTATGGTGGAGGGTATAAAAAGGAACTCAAGATCATCAATCTCCAATTTCTGAAAAAAATTCAAGGGCTTTCCCACCAAAAATTGAGATTGAAAATGTTGCACAAATCGCGGGAGTTTATTAAGAATTCTTTTCTAAGTACCCCTTGACAAAAAAACAAATTTTGAAAAATCGTGGATTTTAATGACGTTTTTTTAAGGAGAAACTGACCAAAAATCTCCGAATTTAAGACCAACAAAAAATTAAAGAATTACAAATTGGTACGTGATATTTAGAAAAACCTTTTTCTCCTGGCCAAAAATTTTGAATTTTTTATGAAACATTTGTTTTATATTCTTTCTGATTATACATAACGTGTTTTTGTTGCTTTTTAAATTTATTGATATTTTTTTAATAATCTCCGAAAGTTATAGATTTTGACCAAACAGGACTTCTTGTCCAAAATTTTTAAATCTTGTCTTCAAAAATCTTAGTTTATAAAAAATCTTGGATTTTTAAGAAATTTTTTTCTTGGATCTCAAAATTCCCACTAAAAACTTCAAAATTTTAAAGACATTTTTTAAGACCTTCAGGCCACACGTTTTAGAAAATGCAAAATTTAGAAGACATTTTTTTTCAAGAGGCGTGTTTGAAGTTTTAAAGAGACACTTTTAGATTAAGTATCGTCAAATTTTAAAGACGTCCTGGCCTAATTTCGGAAATTCTTCTATAATATTTTTATATAAAATCTTAGATTTTGTTAGAACTTTTGTATTTTTTTGTTAAAAAAATATGTAACGGACATCCATACCACCTCCTCCAAAATTCGTTTTTTATTAGAATAATTGCTTAAGGATATCTTGACATTCTTTTTTCAAAAAAATCAAGTACTTTATGAATGATAAGTTTTTTTAAAAAACCTCCTAACCAACTATCTCGGAATTCTTAAAAAAATCAAGAACCTCTCTACCAAAAATTGTAAAATTCTGAAGAACTTTTTGACCAAACATTCTTAGAACCCCTTGAGCGCAAGCCGCAATGTTCAGAGGAAAATTCAAGGAACTTCTGACTGAAAGTGTTGGATTTTTAAAAACGATTTTTAAGGACCTCAAAAAAAAAATTGGCTTTTCGAAAAATTATTATTTTAAGCCATTCTTACATTAAGTTGTAAATTTTTAGACACTTTTTTTAAAGGTCAAAAACCAACGACCGGGAAATTTGTAAAAATTTTTTCATTATTTTAGAAAAAAAGACTTTTTTTAATCAAAAATCTTATATTTGTAAGAATTTTAAGTCCTTCAAGGTTATGGATTCCTTGAAAAAACATTTCAAGACTACCCATTAAAAAATCAAAAATTTTTTGATAGATTTATTATAGTCGATTATGGAGATACAATTTTTGGAAGAACATTTTTACCAAACTTTTGTATTTTTTAAGAAAGTTTTGGATTTTGTAGGTCTTCTAACCACATATCTGTAATTTTTTCAAATTATTAACATTAAGAAAAATTTTCAAGGCTTAATATGCGAAATTGTGTCCTCTCGACCAAAATCATGTATTTAAGAAAAATAATTCAATTTTTGGACATTTAGATGATTTTTAAAGAAACACTAGAACTATTACCTCGAAATTCTTAAAAAAAAATAAAGTGTTTCCCCACTTGAAATTGTGATTTTTTGAAGAATATAAAAAATTTGCAATATTTTTAAGGTTTCCTATCCGTAATCTGGGAATCGTGGATTTTTCATGAAAATATGTGAATACCTCTTACCCAAAAATGGAGGCTTTTTGTCAAGGAAAAAATGTCATGGACTTTTTGAAAAAAAAACTAGTTTTTTAAGAAAATCTTTCAAAAACCTGTCGCGGAGTATTCAAAAATTTGCGAATTTTTGACGAAATAACCAAATTTTGTTTTAAATAACCACCTAACTACAAGACGCCACCAAAGGTTTTGAATTTTTTTAAAGTTTTTTTTTTGGATTTTCTAAACAAAAATGACATATTGTGTGTTTTCAGAAATAAACACTAATAAAAAATACAAATTAATAAAAAATAAGGGGCCTTGTGACCATAAAATGTCAAAAAAAAAAAAAAAATCGAAATAAAAAGTTTTAGGGCTTTTTTTTCAGAAAATTATGTACTTTTACGAATTTTGTTATATCCTTAAATTGTGGATTATTTTTTTCAAAATTATGTAAATTATGAATGAATGTTTCAGTTGTTTTTTTTTTTTAAATTTTATGTCTCAGCATTTTTCACTTGTTTATGTACATTTTTTGGGGCATGTACCATAAAAATAAGATCTTTATACCTATGCTTTTCCCTAGAACTAACGATAGCTATGATTATTAAAATGGGGTATGGGAATTTTGAAGAAATTTGGGCCTTAATTTTCTATACCAAAAAGTCCTGCAGACCTAACACATATCTGAATAAAATTTTATCAACCTGCTTCATTTCGTTGAGAATCTGTAAATGTATGAATACATATATGAAATAGAGCGTGAAAAATCGGGTGCTGTCGATCGTCCTTCTCTAAACCCAAATGGGCTGTCTTTTAAATAGCTTTTATCCTCTATTATAACCTTTTTACGATTAAAGAACGATAACACCTACACAAGCTGAACGGATAAACTCAACATATATCCAACGTGCATTGATGTTAGTTGATTTATTTAAAAATCCATAATTATGAATTTAATTAGAATCCATAAGCATTCAAAGTTTTTTTTTTAATTTATAAATGAGAACTTTTCTTTGAATGTTTATACATTTAAATAGAAATATCCTATTTCATATGTCCTCAGAACCTTAACTTCCAAATAACATGCAAATCAAATGAGAAATGTCAACAATACCCTCAAAATACCAGTCATTTCCTTATTCCTCATTGCCCTAATCAGCAACATTCAGTTACATTCTGTTACTCTATGTTTTAACACCATTTCCTCTGTTATCATCCCATACATAATGTTGATAATTAACATTCTCACCAATTGCACCAGAGAACACCACACTCAGAGTGAGCGAAATGAGCCACTGTTAAAAAGTAAACAGAGATTTAAGCCAATGTTGTTGGTATTTTTTACATGCGACGCGTTAACACTGTTGTGTAGTTAACTGAGCAACTCTCTGCTGCTGCGACGGCTGCCACTGTTATGCTCGTCGTTGTCTACATCGTCCTCCGCATCGTCGTTAACTTGTTTTGATGTTGGCACTTCGTCTTCTTGTTGGCTATGCCAATGCCAGCAGTCACCTGCAAGGTTCCAACGCGCCACAACGTGTATTTTTCTAGTGTTCGCTCCTCGTTTGTTCGTCCGTTCATTGGTTCGTTCGGTTTCGTGTCTAATGGTTGGTGTCCGCCGTTTTTTTGTTTTTGGTTTGTCATTTGTTTGTTTGTTGTGAGGCAAAGAATTTAAATTCTACCAACAAAAGAACTTCCTTTTGCTAACTAACCACACCAAAAAAACGACGCTGCCAAAAGGAAATTAAGACGAACGTCGTCCAGTGTGTTAGTCAGTTAGTTTGTGAGTGAGTGAGTGCGTACGTGCTAATTAACGTGGCCGGCAACTAAATAAAAGAAAAATAGAAAGAAAAAAAATAAAACGACAAAGGAAACGAAAGCAAAAAAAAAACAACCAAATATGTAAATAAAACAAACCAACAACAAACATTCGTAAAATAACAAAATTAAGTGCCGTTTTTTGTGTTCTCAGTTTTGTTTTTGTTGTAAATTTGTTAAGTTTTTTCTCCGTTGTGTCCCCCTCGGGTTCTGTGTTAATTCCTTTAAAGAAACCAATTTCGCGTCAATAATTCGTTTAATGATTGATCATCTTCGGTTTTGTTTCTAATTGCTCGTTTGATTTTTTTTCTTCGTGAGAGCGGGAGCAGAGGCAAGAGATCAAAAAGTAATCAGGTGGTGTTTCTTTCGATGTTGAAGCCAGCCGCCTGCCTTTCAATTGTTGTTATCCTCTAACGGTTAGTGTTATTTGTTTTTTTTTCTTTCTTTCTTATACATGTGAGTATGAGTGTGTGTATTGTGTGTGAGTGAGTGTGTTTTTTATTTCTTGGCTTTGTGTTCTTTTTTATTTGTGTGTGAAAGAGTATTGATTAGAGAGCCTTCAAGTAAAAGCAAGTCGACAAAAAAAAACATATCAAGAAAAAACCTGTCTTATGGCCAACAAAACACACACCAACTAGAAAACAAGAAAAAATCGAACAACTACAACAATCTCATCACTCTCAAGTCGATTTCATTGCAAAGCCAAGAATCATCATCTCTGTGGGCCTAAGAATCTTCTTCTCAATTGGTCTATATGTGTGTGTGTATGTCTGAGTGTGCGAAATATTTATAACGCAAAAAGAACGTGTATAGTGGTAATAAAAAACTGAAAACTTAAAAAGAAAGCAAGAAAATCCGCCAAAGAATGTGGTCGGTCTAATGAAGAGAACAGAACAGAACAGAATCTAAAGACATGAAAAACACACTTGGGAGGCGGCAACAAACTGATTGTCTGCAATGTAAAAGAACAAGCTGCGTTTTTTCCCCGAGTTTCTTTAAAGGCATTTTCTGTCTGATCTGTGTAGAACGAGAGATGTTACAGTTCTGTTGCCTGACCATCGAACTGAGTTTAGTGGGAGAAGGGTGAGATTGGTCGTTGGCTCATAAATAACCAAGATTTGTAGGCGACATGAGAATGGCGGGATTTTTTTTTTTCGTCTGGCCACAGTGGGAAAGAGTAGTTCTTATCAGGCAAAGAGGGTTACGACTAATTGGAAGGGATTGTTTATGTTAGAAAAAAGGGATATCTATTTTCAATTATTTAGTTGGGACCTTTAAGGTGATTAAAAACTAATGAGCCCAAATTATATTTGCTAATGTGACTTTAAGCGAAAATATGCGATAAGTATAAGGATACAAAAATTATTAAGATGTTCCAAAATTATTAAAAAAAAAAAATAATAATAATAATTATTTTTTCATACATCGGGAGTGAAAGTTTTATAGAAAGGATCTAAGAAGTTATCAAAAAAATCTTTATACTTTTATACCCTTGGAAAGGAGGATATATTAACTTTGTCATTCCGTTTGTAACATCCCTAAATATTCGTGTATATATTCATAATTAGCATAAAATTCTAAGTCGATTTAATGATGTCCGTCTGTTGAAATCACGATGCAGCGCACATTATTTGACGTAGAGCGTCAAAATTTAGCAGAACAATTCCTATTGTGTCTAGGATGGTTGGTATTGAAAATGTGATAAATCAGCCCACGTTTTGGTATAGTCTCCATATAACGGTACCTCCCGATATTCGGTATTTTGATGATTTTTGCCACATTTTTTCACGGATTTGTCTGAAAATTGGTCTTTGAAGGCCATAATGTGTCCTAGTTCGTGTGGTGAGATATTGTATGTATGGTATCACGCTTTTGTATAGCCCCCATATATCGGTACCTCCCGATATTAGGTATTTTGATGGTTTTTGTCACATTTTTTTAGGGATTTGTCTAAAAATTGGTATTTGTTGGTCATAATGGGTTCTGGCTGCAGTGGCGAAACATTGTATGTATAGGTCCACGATTTGGTATAGCTCCCACATAATGGTACCTCCAGATATTCGGTATTTTCATGATTTTTCCCAAAATTCTTCGCCGATTTGTCTAAAAATTGGTATTTGTGTGTCCTAATGGGCTCTAGCTCCGTTGGCGAAACATATGTAGCGGTACCTCCCGTTATTCGATATTTTGATGATTTTTGCAACATTTTCCAACGAATATGTCTGAAAATTGATATTTGTGTGTCATAATGGGTTCTGAGGTTCCTAAGGTGGAGGGTATTAAAAGTTCGGCCCGGTCGAAAATGTTTTTTTTATTTGTTTCACTATAGACAAGTTAAAAAGCATCAGTCGGTTTTGCCGACAAATGTATACCATCAGCCAATGTTCGATTATTTAAATATATTTTGACTTCTGTTACGACTTCTTCAGTGAAGTGAAGAAGTGAATCGATATATCCCATATTTACACCAGACCGTGGGTCAATAAAAATATTGTGATGTGTAAAATATGAAGAGTATTTCGGATTTTATAATCGTTTTGGTTATTCAAAACGTCGACCCTTTGTGGGGGACATAGCAGAAGGAATGGTCCGATCTCTACCATCTTTATAACAGATCCTATGTTGATATTCAGAAGTGCCAGGTCTAAATGGAATCGGATGTTAATTTCGCGTTTTATGAGCTTCATGGGTACTCAAAATTTTGACCCTTTGTGGGGGAGGTACCAAAAGGAGTTGACCTATATATTCCTTCTTCACAACCGACCGTGGGTTAATCAAATATTGGGATGTGTGTAATTTAAAGACAATCGGACACATACATCACATTTTATAAAAGTCCAAAGAGACCCAGGGTCTAAAACAGTTATTTCGATGAGTCACATTTTGGCCGTATCAAGTGCTACATGCACTCTCTAGGCCTATGGCTGAGAGTATAAAAATTGAAATCTCATTTTAGATATCATTACGATTTTCCGAAAAAACATCGTTTTGGAAGGATGGTGTCAAAGAGGAAAATATTCTTCATGAGATTTCAATATCAGTTACCCGTTACCAAAATATTGGGATATGTTAAGTTTTGTAAAACTTGTGAATAATTTGAATCGAATTTAACGTTTCAAAATTTTGTCCGTTCTATTTTTCAAAATAAAAATTAAATGCGCTCAGTTTGAAGAAACTCGAGGACGAATTTAACTCTCTGTGGGGAGGCCGACAGACATTTTTCATTTGCGAGCCTAAATTAATAAATTTTAGGCAATGCTTATTTTTTACAATTCTCATGTGGAATCATAAAGTATTAACCGATCGATTCTATTTCCATATATGATAAGAAAAACATTGAAAAGGGGCGAAATTCGAAGAAAAAGCTAAGCACCTGACCTAATTTTAATGTTAAAACATTACAATATGGCAGTTTTAAGCTATATCGTTTTATATGAAATATACATATTTGAAACTTTCAATGTGGGTGAATTTGCAAAAATGTATTTCATATCCGAAAAAATATAGATAAATGCGAAGTTTGAAAAGGTAAATGGTATAAATTTCCACGGCCTCAATAGTTGAGGAAAATTCTTTTTTTTTTAAATATTCAATAATAAATATGGGCTCAATATTTTTTTAAGTCCACGATTTTAAATAGGATACTCGAGTTGATAATTCATTGGATTTATCCGCAATTGAAAAATCCACGGCTGTGGCCTCGGCACTCCTTGGAGACATTATTTGAAAAAAAAAAAAAATGTATAAATCTGGTCATTAGAATGTCGCACAATTGTGGTCATTGAAAAGACTTTAAAGATCCACGATTGCTGCCTTAATAGACCTTAAAAATATCACGATTGGACCTCCAAGGCATTTGAAAAACGTCTTATTAAAAATATATAAAATTGTGCCAATCTCTAACAAACTTCTATAACAAAAATCTCAGAATATATATCCCCCTCTGACTTTGAAACAAAATATTATTAAAACTTACGATTGTTGGCGTAATAGTCCAGATAAGGGAAAATAATTCTTTAAAATATCCCCGATATAGTCCAGATCGAAAATTTCCGAGACCACAGCCTCTGAAAATCCTCTGTGAAAATTTCACAAATGTTGCCTTGGAAAATTAAAAAAAAAAATAATTATAATCGTAAATGTAGGTCTTCAAGGATCCGCAATTGTGGTCCTGACTTTAAAAATATTCAAGATTATGACTTGTAAAATATTTGAAGAATTCTTAACCAACGCGGTCTTGGAAAAAAAAAACTTTTTAAAATTTAACGACTATGGACCTTGTAATTTTTTCAATCCACAAATTTAAAAAAAAAAAATCTTTAAAAATCCATATTGTAATCATAAAAGGATTTTATTTATTTATTATTATTATTTTTTTTTTTTTTTTTTTTTTTTTTTTGAAAATGAAGGAAAAATTTTAAAAAGTTCACGATTTTTGCCTGGTGATGTCGTGAGAATTTCGTAATTTTTTTTTTTAATCGTTAACGTTTTCATTGAAATTTGTTTTTTAATGGATTCTTTAAAATTCAGCGATTGGTAGACCCTAAAGGAAATTGTAAAATTATTGTGCTTTCGATTGTCCATAATTTTTTTTTCCGAATACACAATAATGGTCTCCATTCTTCTTGAATGAAAAAAAATCGCTAAATATTCAAAATAATGGCACTAATAATCCTTTATTTATTTATTTTATTTTTTATTTTTTTATTTTTAAGTTATTCCTTGTAATTTTTTGGTTAATTTTTTTTCTGAAAATTCCTCGATTTTTTCAACAAGAACCCCCAATGATTTTTATACCCTCCACCTTGTAAAGGAGGGTATATTAACTTTGTCATTCCGTTTGTAACATCCTTAAATATTCGTCGTAGACCCCATAGTATATATATATTCTTAATCAGCATAAAATTTTAAGTCGATTTAACGATGTCCGTCTGTCTGTCTGTCTGTCTGTCCGTCTGTCTGTCTATTGAAATCACGATACAGCCCACATTATTTGACGTAGAGCGCCAAAATTTAGCAGAGCAATTTGCATTGTGTCTAGGATGGTTGGTATTGAAAATGAGATATGTCGGTCCACGTTCTGGCATAGTCCCCATATAACGGTACCTCCCGACATTCGGTATTTTGATGATTTATGCCACATTTTTTTCACGGATTTGTCTGAAAATTAGTATTTGTAGGTCATAACGGGTCCCTGTGCGTGTGGCAAAACATTGCATGTATAGGTCCACGTTTTGGTATAGCCCCCATATAAAGGTATCTCCCGATATTCGGTATTTGAATTTTTTTGCTACATTTTTTCACGTATTTGTCTAAAAATTGATATTTGTTGGTTATAATGGGTTCCAGCTCCGGTGGCGAAACATTGCATGTATGGGTCGATGATTTGGTATAGCCCCCATATAACGGTACCTCC